TAGATGCTAAAATCATGGCATTTTCTTCTACTTTTTCTGTATTCTATAAATTTCTAATGAAAGAGAAAAGACCAGGTTTCTATATTGTATGCTATAATCATAGCAAGTCATTCTTAACATCATGGGAAATATACAAAAATTTATTTGCAGATAAACACCAAAATATTGATACAACCTGTTTTTGAAAACTTAGGAAGTTCCCTCTCTCTGTCTCTCAGCACTTTGACAAATACTTTGTGTTTGCCAGGTTTACTCTGAGGAGTTCATAATGATATACTGAAGGCCGGATCCGCCATCTTGGCCGGATCAATTGACAGATTTCTTCATGAAGTGTGTGGTCGGGTGGAGGTAGAGTCGTGAGGTGAGGGACACCACACGAATATGGGATCTAGATCTTGGGTGCTCTTGTGATGGTATTTAGGTGGCTGAGCTTTCCAGATTCTGATATCTCATTCACACAGGAATAGTGATGTCTATTCAACGTTGCCTATTTTGGTCAATACTCATTTAATCAGCAAAAACCTATAACTTCTTCCTTATGCTCATTGACAAAGTCTCTGGTATATTTTTCACTAACAGCTTTTCAACTGCCTGAGAATCTTTTCATTGCTGGATTCCTGAAGGATACCTCAGATGCTAACCAACAGTTACTGGAGAGTAGATTAAGCTTAATCTATGCACACATATCTCACACTACATTATACCAGAGTATTTTGTATTTTACATAAAATACATATTTTCAAAATAGATCTTTTTATGTTAATATTCATATTTTGGCCTTTTAAATTGCTTAAAATTAACTACAGCTTTTGCAAAAAAAAAAAAAAAAGTCAAGCAGGTAAACCATGGAAAGGCAATGTGAAAATTGTAAAACATTTCTCAAAGGCAGAAAATGAAAACAAAATTGTCAATGAACTTAGGTATTTTTTTCCCTGAACTCTCAAAAGAGCAAAGACATTTCCTATATAATTACAAAACTATTATCATACCCAAGAAATTTTAACGAATACACAATATTATTTATACAGAATTCATATTCAAATTTCTCCAATTGTCCTCAAAACCTAGAATCAATTAAACTTTCACATGACAGGGGCACCTGGGTGGCTCAGTCGGTTAAGTGTCTGATTCTTGATTTCAGCTCAGGTTATGATCTCATGATCATAAGATCATGTCTCATGGGGCATCTGGGTTAAGCATCTGACTTCAGCTCAGGTCATGATCTCATGATTCATGAGTTGGAGCCCCATGTCAGGCTCTGTGCTGACAGCTCAGAGCCTGGAGCCTGCTTCAGATTTCTGTGTCTCTCTTTCTCTGCCCCTCCCCAACTCGTACACATGTGTGCTCTTGTTCTCTCTCTCTCTCAAATATAAATATTAAAAAAAAAAGATCAAGTCTCATGTTCAGCTCCATGATGAGCATGGAGTCTGCTTGGGATTCTCTCTCTCTCTCTCTCTCTCTCTCTCTCTCTCCACCTCAATGTCTGCCCCTCCCCTGCTTTCATATGCATGTACATTCATGCTCTCTCTCTCTCAAAATAAACATTTAAAAATGAATGAATGAATGAATAAACAAATTTTCGCATTACATTTGGTTGTCATACCTCTTCAGTGCCATACGCTAGATTGGTCGGATGGTTTCCTTCTGACTAGAATCTTCGGGGAAGAACACTACATAGGTGATATTGTGTACTTCCCATTGTGTCTCATGAGGAGACACATAATATCATTTTGTCTCATCAGTTTGATCACTTGATAAAGATGATGCCTGCTGATGTCTCTATCCTTGTAATATCCTTTGTATCTAACAAGTAATCTGTGGAGTGACGCTTGAGATCATGTGAATGTTCTGTTCCCCTAAAACTTTTTACTTAATTGGCTTTAGCACCCAGTGCTATACTTTGTCTGAATCAATTATTTACATCGGTTTGGGAAAATAGTAATTTTCTCATTTTAGTTTTTCTTCTACATATTAGTACACATTCTTTCATAGAGATCTCCCTTCTTACCTTGAATTTATGTATATATTATTTATTCATCTATTTTTGGTAACTTGTAGTATTTTTTTATTTTCCATGCGTTATAGCACATTAATAATCATGATTCTTGATTCTTGTTGATGCTAAAATTGTCCCAAATTTGACCGATTTGAGCACCTACATTATACCTCCTTTGACTTTTTTACTTATCCTCATCATTTTCTTTATGTGCATCTTTGCTTTCTGTCACAACCTGACATGCCAGTGAGACACGTGCCTTTTTCATTACTATATTTCTATATGCATTTTTGTCTATTTGTGAGCTTTCTAGTCTCTTCCATAGATTTCCCTGTCTTTCTATCTATTCACAGATAAATATCACACTGTTTTAATTATAGAAGCTTTATAGTATGTTTTAATATGGGCACCCCTCATTGTTCTTTATTAGAGGTCTCATAACTATGTTTTATGTTTATGTTTATTTCCAAATAAACTTCAAAATCTACTTAAATAGCTCTATAAAACAACTTTATGTTATTTTTATTGGGATAATATTAAATTTATGATTAAGATGGGAATAAGTAATGGCTTTATAATGTTTACTCCTGTTCACCAAAAAACAAAACAAAAAAATTCCAAATTCATTCAAATTTACTTTTGTATCTTTTAAAAGTATTTTAATTTTTCCTCATATTTTACATACTTCCTGTTGTTTATTCTTTTTTAAAATAATTTAATGTTTATTTTATTTTTGAGAGAGAGAGCGAGAAGCAGAATGTGAATGGGGGAAGGGCAGAGAGAGGGGGAGACACAGTATCTGAAGCAGGCTCCAGGCTTTGACCTGTCAGCACCAAGCCTGACACAAACTGTGAGATCATGACCTGAGCTGACATCAGATGCTTGACCAACTGAACAACCCAACTGCCCCCTGTTAAGTTTTAAAATAATCCTGCTTTTGCTACTAATGTAACCAAAGATTTATCTTGTGATATCATCTAACTGGCTATTGTTTATATACATAAAGATTTCTGGGTTTTGTTTTTAACTTAACATTCTATCACTTTACAGAGTCTTATTCTAAAATTATGTCAGTGTTTTTATTGATTCTCTTGGATTGCTCAAATGCACTATAATATCACCTGTAAATATAGTTTCACTTCTACTCCAATTCTTACAGCTCCATTATTTATTGTAGTCTCATTGCATTGTCTAGTACCTCTAATTTATTTTCAAATAATAGTGGAGTTAGTGAGTATCCTTGCTTTGTTCATGGCCTTATTGTGAATGCTTCTAGCATTCTCCATCAAGAAATATACTGGGTTGGTGCACCTGGGTGGCTCAGTCAGTTAAGCGTTCAATGTCAGCTCAGGTCATGATGTTATGGTCCATGAATTAGGGCTTGCTTTGGATTCTGTGTCTCCCTTTCTCTCTCTGCCCGTCTTCCACTCATGCTCTGTCTCTGTCTCTCAAAACTGGATAAATGTTAAGAAAAATTTTAAAGACATATACTGGCTTTAGGATTGCAATATTTGTGTTTGTGTGTATGTTGTTATAGATATATATTATCACTAAAGAAGAAATAATCAGTTCCTATTTTGTTCAATGTTTGAATCAGGAATGGTTGTTAACTTTTGTCAAAGGTCATTTCAGCATCTATGAAGATGATTCTACAATTTCCTACTTAGATTTATAAACAAGATAAATTATGTTAGTAGATTATCCAATATTGAACCACTCTCACATTTTCATAATAAACTTATTTGATCTTAATGTATGTTATTTTGCTTTTCACTTTTATTTTCATAAGTAATATTGAGCTGTAGTTTATTTCTTTTATTGTCTGTATGAGGTTTAGATGTACGAGAGGTAATTCTCGTTTCATAAAAATATCTGTGGCTTTTCTTTTTTTTTTTTTTCTCTACTCAGGAATAATTTAAGTAGCATTAGGAATATATGATCTTTGGAGTTATAGAATTCCCCTATGGGAATTCTGGGTCTAGTCCTTTCATAACAACTTTCTCTATTTGTTCTATGAAAACTGGAGACCCTTATGTGATTTTGCAAAGCAGAATGCTCCCATTAGCTAGAAGAGCTGTACCCTTTGCTACAGAGAAATATATGTATATTCGTCAAGGTCTAGCTCATGTATCGTATTACCGCTCCATCTCCTACTGTACGGCAGAATCAATCCTTTCCTATTTCTTTTGCATTTATAGCATTGTGCATACGTCTTACAGGTCTGATCACATTGTTTGTAGCATACTTATTTATAGAGGTTCCCTTTTCTCCAGACTTTCAAGGAGAGAGACACGGACTTAAGCATTTTAAATTCCCCAGGCACGGGGCGCCTGGGCGGCTTAGTCGGTTAAGCGTCCGACTTTCGCTTAGGTCGTGATCTCGCGGTTCGTGGATTCGAGCCCCGCGTCGGGCTCTGTGCTGACTGCCAGCTCGGAGCCTGGAGCCTGTTTCAGTCTGTGACTCCCTCTCTCTCTGACCCTTCCCTGCTCACGCTGTCTCTCTCTCTCTCTCTCTCTCTCCTAGANTCGGAGCCTGGAGCCTGTTTCAGTCTGTGACTCCCTCTCTCTCTGACCCTTCCCTGCTCACGCTGTCTCTCTCTCTCTCTCTCTCTCTCCTAGAAATAAATAAAACATTTAAAAAAAAATTCCCCAGCCACAAAGCCACCGCTTAGTTTTTGCTAAGCGTGCAATACATATATTTCAAATAGTGACGAGTGAAGAGCAGTGAAAATAATAACAAAATCTCACTTCAGTATGAACCCCATAGACTATTCATAAAGCATGTAGACTCCACAGTGAGAGACACAAGCTTTCTTTTCCAGTTTCTCCCTGGCAAGTCTGTGACATTGGCCAATTACTCTGTGTTTGCTTCGACTCATCTGTAAAATATAGGTAAAATCTCATAGGGCTTTGTATTCAGAACACGTGTAAAATTCCTAGCATTAAGCACTGTATGTGCTCAACAGATAATCCCTTGCCCTATTACTTCCCTCGCGAAAGCTTACTTCTTAGTTCTTTGGGCCATTCCAGAGCAATCATGAGATACATCTCTCTCACCTGTAGTGCCATGGCGCGGACTCCAGCCTTCAGAGAGTGGTTCCCTCTGAGAGCGTCTGCACAGATGAAATTCTAGTCTAGTTCATGTCAATAACTACACGCAGGGATGTGGTGTGTCCCTGAGATTTTTAAATTCAGTGTTTGTTTTACAACCATAATGTTATGTTAGTTCAATGCAGTTATGAAATGTGTATCGTACCGGAGTCCTGAATAACAATACATTGTATTTGGAACAACAATTTAGAAGTCCTCATACCTGGGCGTTCTTCCCAGTTCCTGTGCTAGTGCCCCAGACAGCAAATTAATTAAATGGCCTTTGGCCATGGCTCTTTCCCTTGAGTCAGCTTTTCTCTCATTTAAAGTACAGAGACAGGAGGGCTTTAATTAGCCCAATGCCTGGCACACTGCACACACTCAATAAATGTTAAGTCTTGGAATTCTCTTTGGATAAAGGTCACTTTTGCTATTAGTATTACTTTATGAGCATTTGAGTAGTTCCTGTGATGATGACATTGACAATGAATAAGGACTTAAGGAAAGTTAATTCATAACTTACAGGCATGTATCATGAGACCAGATTTTCAACAACTCACCTAGTTTGAATATATTCACTGTTGGCCTAATGGTCTATAGCTATGATTCTAACACATAAAGCTCTGGGATTATAAAGAAAGGAAGACCTGTAGCAATTACTTGAATATTTACCCTCAAAGGAGTGTGTGTGTGTGTGTGTGTGTGTGTGTGTGTGTGTGTGAGCCCAAACTAAATATAGAGTCCCCATTCTTTATGTAAGCTACTTAAGGAAAAGGATATTACCTTTGAATTTTTTTTCTCCAGTAAAAGTTATTATTGCTTGTTCAATCCCCAAACTATATATAAATTATGAATAGCTTAAATGCTCTTAAAAATAAGTTTTAAAAAAATGTTTTCCCTGAAATAATATTTTCACTGACCTAGAAAATTTTTCTTAGCTGTTGCCATACTTAGCGTTTCTAACTGATGATGTATGTTGTGATGATGGCAGTGAGCAGAAAAAGCTTGAGGAAATACACACAGTGCTGATATTTTGCTAAAAGAACGTAGCACTAATTCATAGAACATAATTTAATTTTTAAGTAAAAATCTGACTTTCCAGAGTGTCATTCCCTTAAGGCTAGATCTTTATAGGCCCAAAGCCTGTGTGAATTTACACAGCTGCTTTGAGGCTTTGCATATTTCCTTGTTTTAGGGGCTTTGATTTTTTTAAAGGGGTATTTTTATACTGAAATAAAACACAACTATTAACACTAGCCTCAAGGGAAAAAGAAACTAACAAACCTACAGCTTAAAATGTTTCAATCCTTTTCCTTGAAAATCTTGCACATCTTTCAGAAGTTGGAAAAATGAAAGCCATCCTCTGCTAAAAACAGATGAGGGCCAAACCGTCATGATTTCAGAAAGAGCTAGCAGAAGTGCAGGTGTTAATTCTAGAAGGTAAAAGGGTCCCTCCTAAATAACCATTCTCTGAATGTTCTAGAATCTTCTCTTGGGCACACGTGTCTCGAGATTGCCAGCATTACCACGGGACGCAAGCTTTCGCTGCAGAATGTTTTCTGCATAGTTCCCAGCCAAAAGTGAAACAAGTTGACTGCTGACAGAGAGGCCATTTATAGAACGTATTTGCTTACACCCGTGCTAGGCAGTAACTGAAAGCCAATGCAAAGAAGTCATTCCTCTTTACCTTGCTCGGAGCAACTCTGGTCTGGAGAGCCATGGACACATCCTATGTCAGCGAGGTGGTGGGAGCCCCACTCTCTCTACCGACGACATCTGGAAGGAGAGACAATTGTCGCTGCGAGCTTTCCAATTACTCCTGAAAACTAAGTGTGAGACGCAGTAGTGCAGGATGATTGGATTACACAGAAAGAGACAGAAGCCATCTGTGAGCCACACGTAAGCTGCTGAGCGCCAGGATGAACAACCTTATTAGACGACCGAGTTCTCATTCCATTTGTAGTTTGGTCAAGTTTGAAAGATGAGTTGATTGTTTTTAGACAGCCCTGCAAATAGGCAGGGATTTGAAATTCTCCCTGGCTGTATGAGTAATTACTGTCTCATACTTAAATTAGAAACATGGATTTTCAGCTAGGAGGTCCTGAGATTGTCTCCAAAGGATGCTACCGGCACTCATGTTGAAGCATGGCCTGCTCTTTCTTACCCTCGCAGGAGCTTCCGCCTGCTGAGGAAAGAAATCATTAGACCCTTCACATCACAGCAAAGCAATATAAAAATTCTGATTTGGGGACGGGAAGGAGAGTGATCCTCATGCTCTGAAATAAAGGCCTTTACACAGAGAGCGAAATGTTTCCAGGAATTACCAGGATACATCCAGTACTGGAATTCTGTGTCTCTCAGTGCCCCAGGGCTCCAGAACCAGCCCTTCACTTACCACATCTCATCACATCTTTTGATTGGCACCAACTTCCAACGTGTAGATGACAATTCACTTGTTTCTGTAGTCCCTGTGCTAGGAGAAGAGCTTCATTACCTCTTATCCATCACACTCTGTAATGCACACACGGCTCTGGGAAAGGGGGAGAGAGTGTCTTTAGCAGCCCAGGGTTTGGGAGTTTTCTTACAGAAATGTTTTTAAATTCGACTCTCATCATGCCTATTAATTATATAATCAATGCTCTTGTATTAATAGGACTTTGATAATCTGTTTAGTAGGCGGCTGCCCTGCCTGTCTGTTTCCATTGTGAGCTCTTGGGGAGGAAAGACCTTCCTGCTAGTAAGTTTGTAACGGTCGGCTTCCGATGTTAGCCTACCCACCGGGAACCCTCAATTCTGTGGGACTTTTTGAATCCTGAGCCTTGCCCTGTTTGTGACAGCGGTAAGCCAGACTTTCTCCCCCCCCCCAAAAAAATGCAGGGAGAGCTCTCTGGGAGTCGCAGCCCAATGCTGAGCAAAGGACCCGTGCTTTCCAACACATTCACAGGGTTTGGGGGACAATTCCTACTCTGTCAGAATTCTTCAGTTCCGTAGTCATCACACCAAACCGATCCTCTCAGGAAGGTGGCATCACACATCGGGAGCCAACATGAATTTCATGATAACCACTCCACTGGATAAAATATTGAAAAGCCCTAGTTATCTATAATTACATTAGAAAAACTAGGAGGCCCGTGAAGCATATTGTGTGGAGACTGTGGACAGGTCTGTAGCTAATGCTACAACAACAACAACAAATAGCTTTTATTTGAACTATGATCTTGTGAGAGTAGAGTATGGCAGAGACACACACACCCTCCATAGCCAAGTTCACCATTAGATTGATACAATATATGCACGTGTACCTATTGTAGGTATACGAGCGCATACATTTCATTCAGCACATCCATATGGAAGCTAAGGAATAAAATGTGGAAATCTCTTTACATTCCTGTATTCTGACTTGTGTCCCTTGGCATTTTATTATGTTTTAAAGTACTTTCAGTCCCTTTATGTAACTTGTATTCAGAGTTCTTTCTCCGGACTTAGCTATTTGTTTCATAGTAGAGACTTTCAGAAACTTCAGGGTACTCAATAGATATTTTCAAGACAATAGTCCATAATTTAGAACTGCTTCTTGATAAACTCAGAGGAAGAAATGAGTTCAGGTCCATGATCTTAAATCTTCTGGGCCAGATATGTTTCCAAATTCAGAAAATTTTAAATTTTAAACAGATAATAGGATCCATATAATATATTACATCATATGCCTGAGGGGTCTGAAACTTCACTCTGCATTCAAACGTTTTGTTTGAACAACTAAGTGTACGAAAATTCGCCCCAAGTGGGATCAACAAAAACCATAAATAATTTTATGTTGGTTTATGTAGGGTTTTGACACCAAATTGATTCAGGTCACATAATGTTCTACCACCTTAAAAGTTTTCAAAATAGTTTTCAGAGCTTTAGATTTAGGGTTCATAGATAACAAATTCCGACGTGTACTGATTTAATAATAAGAAGCTGAAGATTGAGGGGCGCCTAGCTGGCTCAGTCAGTATGACGTGAGACTCTTGATGGTCAGGTTTCTGAGTTTGAGCCCCACATTTGGTCTCGAGATGACTTAAAAATAAAATCTTTTTTAAAAAACCCTGAAGATTTTGATGATGGCTATTGATGATACAACTCCAAATATAATTTCAAATGATTTGATAAAGGTGAAGATGCTGCATTAATACAGTCTTATTATCCAAAAGAAGTAAAAAAATAAAATTCCTTTGCTCCCAGTGCCCAGATGAAATGAAACTGGTTGCCACTAATGCTTTCTGCTCCTTCTATTATAGCCGGCTTTGCTCTGGAAGCCTGGTGCTGTATATTTTTAGTTCGACTGATTTTCTCTAACCCATTTCTCCCTATCGTGGCCTTCTCCCACATCTGTTGTTCAGAGATTTTTTTTGAAATCAAAATACTCTATAGGATATCGCTAAATCATAAAAAAATATATTGGGAACAAACAGGCTCTATTTTATTTCAGGGAGCCGTGGAAATACCAATCAGAGTTGAGGTAACTTTTTTTCTTCTGTTTATAGCCTTAATGGAGTTTCCTTTAGGTTTGGTCTCATGTTAAAGAGAAGATATATGTACATACGTGTAAGTACACACTGATTTCATTGTTTCAGATTTACTGGGTAATAAATCTTATCTTGAAAGGTAAAGTCACAAAAAAGGATATCACCTCTAACAGTTACAGCGCAGAAATAAAAAAATAGTTGGCATGGGCAAGTAGTTATGTATATCCAAACCCCAATCAGACAGTAATTTTCATACGCCATCCCACAAACCTAAGCCAGGGCTACTAGTAACTGCGAACGTGGACCCTACGGTTTCAGTATGTCACTTGACCTACTTGTAAGTCAGTTGACCACAGATCTGGGTCTGAAATGGCATTATAGAGTCGAAGAACATTAGGAAGATACAGGAAAAAAAAAATCTAGAGAGTAGATACATTGTATCAACTTGAAATAAAGCCTTAGAGCAAACTC